CTATCCTGCATGTTTGTTACATGGAGCTGAAATCCACGGAAACCTTCCACGGTTAGCCAAACCTCCTAGATAAGAGGCCTCAGAACGGGATACCATAAACAGGAAATGTGATCTTTTAGTAGTCCAAACGTAATGACATCTTTCGTATTTACCAGCACTGCACAGCTTAGTTTCCCGAACAAAAGACATCTTTCTCATTTTACACTCGCTGAGCAGTTTTTGCTCGGTAAGTCAGATTACTAAATTGATCCGTGCTGAGGCCTTCTTTCTTCTAGAAGGTGTTGGCTTAGCTCGACAACAAGGGAATTCTAACCCATGATCCGTCTACCACAGAGAACATTTTATATCAACACTGTGGTCGGTGCGAGCCGGGGACAAAAATCAAATCAATGCAGGGATTCGAATCTGGATCAGTTCATTGGGATACGAGCGCTCTATCCCCTGCGCCACCGTGGCTTAGTTGAAATAATTTAAAAAGAACAATTAGAGTAACATGTACTTTTATAATTACTGAATGGGTTACTTATTTTATATACATGGTTTTTCTTATTCATTAATATTTATTTTTTAGAATATTTGTCAAGAATGAAATAGAAAAAGAAAGCATTAATTCCTCTCTGTCTACTTGAGCAGTCGAACGCATTCTGATTATTTAAATCCCGTCTTTCTTAAATATGACTCCGTATATTTTGCAGTAGTTTTTCCCTTTTTTTTCCTCTCTTAAATACTAATGATTGATTTTTAATATACATACTTTTGTGTAGTCACTTTTGTGAGGGTTTTCAAAATATATATTTAACGCTGTCAATCTGCATACTAAAACTCTTTCATAACCAAAACTCATTCATTTTTGAGTTGCTTTGTTAAAATTGCTGGGATTTGATATGAGAGTTTTTCTGCTTCACCAATTTTTAATAAATTGAATTACATAATTTTCAAATGTATTTTAATTCATATTTTTCTTATGGATCTGTAAAATTAAGTTATTTCTACCTTATGCAATAGAATCTTTAAAAAAGAAGCAAAATAAAATTCTTCGACTTCCGTTACGAAATCCTCATGAAATTGAAATCTGGAAGCAAAATAAATAAACATCAAAAACCCGAATCATTAGAAAATGTTTCATTGCAGTTTAAAAAAAATAAATAAATAAGTAAAAAAACAGTTTATATTTAAAATATATTGTACTCTAGTCATTTTTCCTCTTCCTTTGTTCGGAATGGTAACTGGATAAAGAAAAATTAGAATCAATTGTTTTTAAAATTCCTTCTAATATATGAGTGATAAGCTTTAATTTTATGAAGTTACTAAATTAAATATCAAAGAATCTTAAATGCACAATTAGAATCAGCTGTGCTATGGGTGGAAATAAAATTTTAAATAATTGAAATATTTATGTTTCGAAACAAAGAACAGAGCAGTATTTTCTAACACAGGGGTTTCGTATTTACTCATTTTCATAATTTCAGAAATACTTAAATAAAATATACTTTGCACTTTAAAAACCACAAATTTAATATTTATGCAAGGGAAAGAAACAAATCTATTGCCAAAATCTGACAAACCTGTTAGGGTAGTCGGGATTAAAATACAGCAAAACTATTGCGCTAAGCAGATAAATTTTTTAACTGTTTCTAATTATTGCCTTGACCAGAATAACCTGGTTGGTAGGTCACAGGACCCATGCCCAAGATGTTGTGGGTTCGATCGCCGCTGGACAAAGACTCCCCGTGTAGTAAATGGCGATTGATGCACGTNGAAATTCCCGTGCAGTAAATGGCGACTGATGCACGTTAAATCTATCGAGTCGCAAAGCCCCCCATGTTCCCATAACAAATAAACAACACTGGGGGTACTTATCCAGGAGTTTCCTGGTCTTCTGGATTGGTTCAAAATTACAAGGCTACGGAGTTGAAATTGGGTCGGTTGTTCAACGACGGATAAAATAAAGTAATTATTGCCTTTCACCCCTTATTTTTCTGGGGTAATCAAACAGATTTTGATACTTGAACTTGTTGTTATCTATAATAATTCTTCTTAGTTAGATAAAAAAAAATTCTCGCGTACTTACTTGTTTGTAATCTCAACTGTGCATAGTTTTTTATGTTATAGGCAATTACTACGGAACACCCTGCATGTTAAGATATATTGGAAATATAATTTTTTCATTTAGGTTCGTTTACAATTCCCCTCTTTACAGCGCTTTTTACATTTAGCGTAATCTATGGGTTTAATCTATCCTGCACATATTTTCATCTTATGTTCACATATTTTCATCTTCAGTTATGCTTATATGATAACTTAGAGACTCATAAATATCATTCAATTAGTTTTTCACGTTCGGTATGAGGAATAAGTATTGGAATGCACGTCTCTTTATGACAATCATTTTCTACTTCAAGATGAATCTTGGAAAAGAGCAGATGTAACTAATAGTTCACGCGTGTGAACTGAATGGAGAGCTTTTTTTAAAAAATATTTCATACCTAAAGCGTACATAGATGCTTTCTAAGAGTATAATCATAAGTCTCTAAAGTTCTCATCAACAGGAATCGGTCTAATAACGAAATAAATATCGATCAAACTAAATTTATAATTTAAATCACCTTCTGGTAAAGACATCTTATGATATTAAAAGATGTGTTTCTGGAGCATTTTCCGCTTTTTTTTTTAAACCAACACCCTGTGTTTAAAAATTGTAGTAATTAAAATCACCAGCACAGAATTATGTAAGAGGCAGCTTGTCAAATAATTTAGTTTTTTCAACTTTGTCCATTTGAAATCTTAAAAACTATTAATATGATTTAAAATAAGTTTTTGAAAAGTTCAGAAAAATCAATTTTTTTACAATGTTGCGTAAGATTTTATTTTAAATCTCTTGGAGGGCATTTCAGCATCAGGATCACTCAAATATTGTAACAATTTCCTTTAGTTCAGTCTGCTTTTTTTTTTCAAAAATATGAAGAAAATTATTTTTAATGCATTTACTCTAAGTAGAAAGACATTTTAGGGGATGATACATTTAAAAAAAATGTATTTTGACTAAAATATTAATCATTTATATGTTATCATTAATACTGACCAAAATAGTGAACCAACAGTCTATTGAAAGATGTACAAAAGATGCTTTGTTGAAAGAAAAATAAAAAAAAAGAAAGAAAAAAAAGAGTGTTTCTTTGAATAGAAGAAGTTACAAATATTCTTTCACAATATCTTTTTTTAAAAATTATTAAAACATATAGAAAATAAAGCGTAACTTTTTAATGTTACCTTTTTACGTTAAAAATTTAACAGAGAGAGAGAGAGAAATCCTCAACTTCAAAACTTACTAAGTGACTTTCTAGTAGATTGAAGAGGAGTTGTAGCGCCATCTCTTATCATAAAAGGAGACTAATTCGGAGAAAATAAGTTTAAATTGGTGTTGATTTTAATGACAGACAATTTCTTTTATAGATTCATCGTTTCCAGTAATATTACAGCAATTATTCTTCAAATCTTAACTTTTCGTGATTGCTTTTAATCTTGCATTTGCATTCAACATTAAAAAATTTAGAAAGAAAATATTAAAAATTCTTTTTTAAAAAAAAAAATTTTAGGAATAAATATGTTTCGTTTCTCGTTGAGATATTAAAAGTTTCTTTTTTTGTTTTCATTTTAAAAATATATAACCAATGAATTTCAATGAAGTGTAATGTGTTTGACTTCTGGGGCACATGTCAGGTAAAAACATTAACCTTCCTTTTTTTAATTAGAGTTTTAGACATAATTTTTACAGAATTCTTGTATATTCTTTTATAGACAATACCTTTATCGGCCTGATTTAGCATATTCAATTATATTATGAAGATAAATAATGATCTAATAACCAAAACCCTTTACACATATTTTTAGGACTGCAGACGAGAATGAAGTATAAAAAAAGCATATATACGTTCGAAGTCTTTACATTTACATTTAAGCGAGTGAAAAAAGAATCACCGAATCATCATATGAAGAATTATAAACAAGGAAAATGAATTTAAAATCATCAAAACCTGTTTGATTTCCTAAAGAAACTGAAAGGCGATGATAGTCGGGAATATAACACTTCATTCCGGCAATCAAGCAAGTTTTGGTGGTTTTATTTCGCTCTTCAGTAATAGTGATTTGTCAGATTTCGATCATGTTTCTGTTTCTTGTTCCTTGCTGATTATTTGCAAGGTTATTTATGACTTTCAATATTGCCGACTGGCTTTTGTAGGGGGCAGGGAGCTGTCCTTGCATCAGAAAGGTACTGGGTTCGAATCACGGGCAAGGTATGGATGTTCTTTCCTACTCTGTACTATCTGTCCTCACTGTGGGAGCGACGTTGGCCCACCTAATATGGTGCCCCTGAAAGAGAGGTCAACAAAATCGCACCGTATATGCCTGAATTGACGGATGTTAGCACAAGTGGGCATTGGCAAAAAAATGACTCCCAATATGTACACTACTTTAATTTCTTTTTTGATGCCAATTTTACAAATATACACTAATTAAAAAACACCTTTCCAATGTATACTACAGAACACAACGTTGATCCCTCAACACATCCTATGTGTTTAAAAACTTCGCACTAGAAATAGAACAATTTTTATTCAGAACAGTGCGGTGATTAAGAAACACCCTGTATATTAGTATTTCAAAACACCACTCTGATATACTTACAGAACACCCAGTATATTCTTATTTCAGAACAACACTCTGGTTATAAAACATCCTGTTTATCCCTATTTCAGAACACCACTCAGAATACAGCACACTTTGCATATCCTTATTTCAAAACATACACTGATTACTGTGCACCTTGCATATCCCTATTTCAGAACAACACTCTGATAACAGATGTTAAATTTATATAGTGTCTTTTAAATTTATCATTATTTAAATCTTAATATTTTATTTTCATCTAATTATTAAGTCATGAAAATAGTTTTTAAATTATCAAAAAACAATAAATTTTCACTCACTCTTTTTTTCAGGTTCAATTTCTCTCTTCATATACAACTAGGGTTCGGTTTTAATTGAAATATATTAGTTTAGTGACAGAAATTTCCACACCAGCTTCCAATGACGTACCTTAACAAATTACCTAAGAGCCACTAATACCAAAACTGATGTATAATGAAATCAAGTGTATCAGTCGATCCATGATAAAACAATCAGTTTGAAATTTGAGAACCAGAGTTCCAGAGAGAGGATTGATTATCTTAAAGACTTTACAGATATGCCGCCACTGTATGTATCCACTGCTTTGCTTTAATCCTATCCCAAGGAAAGATTCTCTAATTTGATTTGAACCTGTCTCGTTTGTTTAAATAATGAATTCACTAGCTGCGTGCTGCTGGCTTTTCTGTCAACATCTAAACCTGATGGTATTGCATACATTAACAGGGTATTAGAGCTTATGTTTGAAAACAGTCATTTTAGTTAATTAAAATTTAAGCATAAAAATGCTTTTAACCCTTGTTTAACCTGTTATATTTAATTGTTTTGCTTAAAAAAACAGTGCAATTTTATACGATTAAAGTATAAATTTGGCTTTAAATTGAACTTTATAACTATTGAGCAGAAATTAATTCTGTGACAGTGCTTCATAATATATATTAAATACTCTAAGCTGTCTTAATTTTTTATTTAATTAAATAACTGCATAAATAATAATAATAAATTCCAAATAACAATTTCGTAAAACTTCAATTTTTTTAAATAAGAAAGAGCAAAAGTAATTTTTTAAATAAAAGAGAACAAAAGTGAATTTTCAAGAAGAAAAAACTGAATGTGTAGATGTTTCAAATTAAATTTCTACTAGAACTCAAATTTGATTTGAACCTGACTCATTTGTATAAATAATGATTTCTTTGATTGTATGTTGCTAACTTTTCAATTAATTTCTGGACTGGTGAATTTGCATGAATTTCTTCTTTACATGAGGGTGTTGGAATTGCATGGATTAATAAGTTATTAGAGATTAGGTTAGAAAACTGTTATTGTAGTAAATTAAACTTTTACCATGTGTTTATTAATAAAATATGAAATTTTTTCAAGTTGCTTATATATTGTTTAGATATTTTGTTAAAAACAAACAGAATTTTATGCTATTAAAATTTAAATTTGATTTTTATTTGAACTTTCCAGCTAATTCTCTGATAGTATTATTCAATTTTATAGAAAACAGCAAGTTACATTACAAATCTAATTATTACGCCTACTTATTTGTTTGTTTATATATCAAAACAGAATTCTACCAGAATTCTTCAAAACAGAATTCTACCATTTCTTGAAAATGTTTCTACATGCAACAAAATATTCAATTGTGTCGAAAATGGGCTAAATAAAGCTTGTCAAACATAACACCCTCCTTGAAAATAAAAGTAAATATTGACGAATGATTCCCTTTGGATTAAAGACTTTATAAAAATATATATGAAATCATTGCAACGTCAGACCAAAACCTAAATCCAGACCAGTTCTACTGGATGAATTACCAAAAATCTCCAGGATGAATTACCAAATATGAAAATGGCTGTATAACCAAAATGTTTTAATAAGGCTTGTTTATAAATAACAAACTTTTGCTTCGGTCCTTCATTCATTAAATTATTGAAAATAGAACAAATTGTTATAGTAATTTATTTTTATAATTTTTCTAATTAAAGGTAGTACTTTAATGTTAATAATATTTAGTTTCTTATTAATTCAAAACAACACCAGGCATTTAAACAGAAAATATTCTAAAAATAATAACCTTAAAGTTTGGACAGGTCATTGAGAGCTTTCTACGAATTCTACTAAAATGCTTCTTCGAATTTTCTTTCTCTAAGTTCTTCAATCCATTGCAATTAAAAATGTATTTGAGAAACATCTTTAAATATTTTTAGAAAATCTGAACGTATGGAATATATTAGTAAAATAATTGAAATAAAAATATATGAAGTCAGTGAATGATTATATGAAGATTTATTCTACCTAAAACAATTCATCGGAAATATGCAAATAAAATATCACCAAACTGAAATTAGACATTAAAACTAAAAGCTTTCAAAGGCAATAAAATATAATTTTCACATGAAATGCTTACATTTTAAAAATTTTCCTTTGCACTTTAATGGCTTATTGCGTTGACAAAGACATCAGTATTGAGTTTAATATTTCTTTTCTTTCTCTTATGGCTCTATTCATTGTTTTGATGTTTAAATGAATATTTCTTACTCAGTACATTATTAAAAATCAGCCCAAATGAGCGTTTTGTAGAAGCTTTAACGCGTCTTTGAAAGCTAGAATGATTGATGATTGTCCTTTCTATAAGTAAAAGAAAAATTTCAAAGCAATAAAAAAAATGTAGGAATTCTCATTTTCTTCCGAATAAAAGATAAGACTTTTTTAAGCTTTTTTAATTGTGTTTGTATATTGGTATCCCATGTGATACCAATATAAACTCATATATCTAAGAAAGATTAGTAGTGATAGTTGGTATATTAGTGCAAAAGTATTTTTGTGATAAATTTAAAACTCTTGCTTAAATGTCATTAAATTTACTTGAAAATTGTGATGGATAGTTATTTTTTTAAACTTTATTTTAGATAATTTGGATGACGTAACTTTTTTTTATTTATACTTTAAGTACTTTGAATTATTAAGCATTCGAACTTTTCTGGTAATGTTGAAAAGTGAAAAACTTGGTTTGAAGTCATGGATATTTGTTGTTTAAACAGATATTTTTGAGATTTTTGCTTTATACTGAAAAGTCTAAATCTCTAAACATCAAAGTCTGTAAGAAAATGTAAAAAATAGTGAACCATCTCATTAACACTAATTTTTAACTTTATATTTTTACTCACAGGCATCTTAAAAATGAAGCAAATCGGTTTAATCGCGCCATTTAGTGGACAGTTTAAGTAAGACATCTTTTTTTTTTCAATAAAAAAGTTTTTTGTTTTCATTTCGAAAAATCTGAAGAAAATCTTTTTTTAATTGATAAAGTCTTAGTTATTTTTAAGTACAAGTAAAACACACGTAGAATAATTGTAACAAATAAACTATTCTACGTCATTTTCTCATCTATATAAAGATCACTAAACTTTCTCAACAGGGAGATGCATATTGATACTTATTAAAGTGATAGAAAACCAAGAATTGCTCTATCATAATATTGATTTTTTTTCATAATTTCAGATAGCAAAAACTTTTACGCAAAAAATAACTTTTAATAACTCTTTCTGGAATCTCTAATTTCAAGGTAAAAATATTAGGAAGCTGGATAAAATCCCATATGTTAAGAAAACGCAACGGCAGTTATTTATTTATGTGTGTATAATATTAAAAGTTTGAAAAGTAATTTAAAAAAGCTTTAAATTTAAAGATAAGTTTTAACTTTGAAGCAAAGAAGTATGGGTTACGATAACGCATTTTTTAAACATTTTAAATTTTTCACATGAAATTGCTTTATAAGTCTTTCTGAAAAAAATTTTATGAATATTATTTATTTAATTGTTTGTGAATATAAATTTATATAAATATAAAAATTAAATTTGTATTATATAAAAAATAATTGTTAGCAAAAATTTAATTTTTTTATATATTAGCTATCAATATTTTCTAAGCATATTTTTTATTTATAAAATTATTAAAAACTGCTAGCAAAAGATAATAAACTGTCTGAAAGTTATATAGCATAATGGACAATCTTTGACACATTTTACAAGCTAGAAACTGATTTTTTCAAAAATTAAATAATTTAGATGTATGTTTTGAAAATATTTATGAAAAATATAAAGAGAATTAATAATATTCTGCTTTATTTTAAGATAAATTTATTCTAAAATTTTCGAATACGTAAGTTATAATCCGACAAAAGCAATAATCCGACAAGATCCTGCAATGACCTAAAAGGAAGAATATTAATAGAAAATATATTTTTTCAGATGTGATCTCATCTACAACACTCTACCTGCATCAAAGCTAATGAAACTCTTATTGAAAAAGTGATAGCATGTAAAAAAGGTAGAAAAGCTAGAAATAGCAATACCTCAACGTGCAAAACTGTAGTCGTCATGACGTAAAAAAATTAGCATTTAATTATTGACCTTTTAAAAATTGATTTTCCTTTCCAGAAACGTAAAATATTGCACTTTTGGACTATAATTAAAATAAAATATTCAATTCAAATCCCCTAAAACCCTTCGATAATTAGCAGTAAATTAGTTACTCTAAGTCAAAATCGGCTGATGCTAAAAAAAATTACGACATTAAAAAAGAATCTAAAATTTTTTTAAGATGGTAACATTTCTTAAACCTGTCTAACAGTCCTTTATTTAGATTTTTTTACATAAAAGCTCATTTACTAGTTTGAAACATAATTCTGTTCATTTACTTGTTTGAAACATAATTCTGTTCATTTACTTGTTTGAAACATAATTCTATCTACCTATCCAAGAGATTGTTTTAATGTATAGTAAAAATAACAAGCACTTGAGAGGAATGTTATGTCATTGAATTCAGTACAAAAGCTAGAAGTTAACCTTCTGTTTATAAGAATATACTAGTTTTTTGATAAAAATACATAATTGAACATTGTTCTTGTCCAAATCAGTGAACTTGTTCAAATCATTGTTCTTGTCCAAATCAGTGAACTTGTTCGAATAACCAATTCATTGAAGTTAAAAATCATATCAATGTATTCAAACATTTTATTTAAACGTATAAATAATATCTCATATCTTTCTTACCATATTAAAATTATAAATATATTAGTCATATATTATATTGATATATTAACAATATTTATATAAGATGAGATAGTAAAACTCACAAAATAGTTGACTTAAAAATATTTTTATACTACTCACCTTCCAATACGGCAAGCCGAACAATCTAATATAAAGAATTCCTATTCGGGAAGCTAATTTAAGTTTAATATGTGATCTATTTTTAAACAAATCTGCCTATTGCACATCGAAAATGTTTTCAAAATAAATTCCTTTTGAGTCTATTGTTTATAAAAAATAATTCTTATTCCCATGTTTTCGATCAACATTTCATAAAGTTTCGCTTGATTCGAGTTCCGTAAATTTGTTCCATATGCCATTATTAAAAGTAAAACACAGACGATAAAATTAATGGGATCGCATAAATTAAAAGCAGAAGAAAATATAATCGTTTTAAAGAAATATTTTCTAAACAGTAAATCGTCATACTATTTTGGGGATAATATAGTTTCTGAGCAATAATTAAAATTTATTCAATACGTAAGTATTTAAATTTAAGAAAATTGAAATTTTTTTTATATAATATCTAGCTGTAAATTATTAATTTTAATTGCAGTAAAAATATGCTTAATGATTGGTTCAAAATGTATTTAGAAAAAAAATTGAATGTAAAAACATTTTTATTTATTTATTATTATTTTGCTTAAGTTAAGTTTAGAATCAACTCTTTATCATTATTCATTTTACATGGACAAACAATATTCATGGAACTCTAATCCAAAGTTATGCTAGCGCCATCTATTAACTTTAAAAAGGACCTCTTAGTTGAAGCTGTGTTTCCGACTGTGTTTCTGTGATAAATATGCCTGTGTTTCCGGTATATTTTCACTTAATTGAGTTTATTTCCAATCAATTTTATTGATTCGATTTCGCTGCAGCTGTAAAAATATTTTCCATCTGAAACTCAGTACTAAAATCAGTGGCACTCTAAAGTATTCGTAAGCTTTGAGTATTTGTAGTTAAAATGAGGAACCTTGGAAATTAATTCAAATGAGAAGTCCCATATTTTTCACATTATTCTTTTAAAAACTTTCTTTTAAAATATTGATTGAATTTTTTTAAAAGTCCAACAGAGTGCCACAAATATCGTCATGCGTTGAAATATTTTCGTATAAATAGAAAATTTAATTTATTGTCTGGCGTTTTAATTAAATGTATCGTCTGACACTTAATTTTTTTTATAGTTTTCTTCACTGAGGTGGCATTTAGAAAATCGCTTGGCTTTCACTTTTATCGCTTACTTCGCAATGTTCTCTATTTAGTATTTGTAAAATGACTCCTAGTCGTAAAAAAGCATCCTTCAGCAATCGAAAATTGATTATTTTTCATCATACTAATGGTAAATCACTACAGAATATCTCAAAATTGATAAATCCACCTCATTCAGCAGTGCAGTATGTGGTAAAATAATTTAAAAAAGAAAATCTGATCATAAACAAGGTAAAAAAGTTTGTCCGGTAAAGTTAACAAAACGTGGGCAGAGATTTATAATAAGGTGATTTTGTGAAAATCCAAGTTTCTGCATAATTTAATGATAAATTTACTTCGGCAGTTTCACCTGAAACTGTTTGACGAGTTCTCAGAACAGCTGAATTAAATAAACGCTCTGTTCGTGGAATATTTTT